GTGGCGGAAGGTTTAAGCATCCACCTCAGGTTGTGATCTCAGGGTTGTGAGATTGAGTCCCACGTTGGGCACTGCGTTCAGCACAGAGTCTGCTTTGGGTTCTCTCTCCCTCTCCCTTTGCTCCTCCTGCTCGTGCTCTCTCTCTTTCTCTCTACAATAAATAAGTCAATCTTTAAAAATAAATAAAAGACATATTTGAAAAAGGAGAAGCACTATTTAAATAATACCAGCAAATCAACAAATGGGCCAAGTCTGGTATCTGTTACTGCCACCTAGTTTCAAATATCCACCAGAAAAAAACAGGGCCCCTGGGTGGCTCAGTCAGTTAAGCACCTGCCTTCGGCTCAGGTCATGATCCCAGGGTCTTGGGATTGAGCCCTGCATTGAGCTCCCTGCTCAGTGGGGAGTCTGCTTCTCCTTCTCCCTCTGTTCCTCCCCACCCCTTGTACACTCTCTTATCTCTCTCCCTCTCTACAAATAAGAAAATAAAATCTTTTAAAAAAAAATCCACCAGAAACAAACAAAAAACGGAAAGATTAAATGTTCTACTACTACAAATCAAGGAATTTCTGAAAACTGGGAAAACAGCCCACTCCATCACAGCTGCTACTGCTTGGTGGAGCGGGGGATCAAAGTTGTTTATAAATTCCCTAAGGCATTTTATTCTTCCAAAACAGTAAATAAGCAGTAAATAACCTTCCTGATAAATATAAATTGGCTGAAAGAATTATAAAAATGCCAAAACTTCTATCTCAAGACTGTAATATTTAAGTTCAAGATAGACAATAGTTGTACCAGTTGGAAATTAAGAAGGAAAAAAATTATTCTGCCTCAAAAAGATAGTTGTGATGGAGGAAAGACGGAGACTATTCACTCATACCACAAATATTTATTTAGCATTTACCATATACATATACAAATATTTATTCAGCATGCAGCAGGCCTTGTGCTAAGTTCTGGGGAAAGAATAATGAGTAAGAAAGACAAAGACTCTTGTTCTCCTTTAGAGGCTAACCTAAAGGAGAAATCCTACAGAAAAAAATACCTTCATCAATATGTTAGAATCAAACATTCATGTTTAAGTCACTCAATAGTAACAGAAGTTAATAGAAGTTCATTTAATGAACAATTAAGTGACTACCATGTGTCAAATACAGTGCCAATCACAGAAGCATATAAGAGTTCTTGCCCAGGGGCACCTGGGTGGCTCAGTCCGTTGAGCATCCAACTCTATTTTGGCTGGTCATGATTCCAGGTCCATGAGATGGCCCCACCTTGGGCTTGAGGCCTGCTTAAGATTCTCTCCCCTGCCCCTCTTCCCCCCCAGCTCGTGTTTGCTGTGGCTCTCCAAAAAAAAAAAAAAAAAAAGGATATACAATCTGCAATCTATGTGATTTCTTCAAAGGAAGCTTCAAGGTAAACATTTTAAATGAAAAATAGTAGAAGTGCTTTCTTTTGTTTTGGTAATAAGTAAGTACTTAATAATTTACATGTTTGATAGGTTTTAGTTTTCATGTTATCAAGTTGGCCTATAACTGAAATGCATATGTAACTAATTTTCTTATATGTCACACTATCCTACTAACACTAGGAGTTACACTTTTTGGGCAAGTACTGAAAACTAAAGGCTATCATTTCATACAAACTAGGTTTTTTTCAAAATGCTTTAAAATTTGATAATATTCTCTTCCTAACATTAAAGTTTCTTCTCTACTTTTCCATGAGAATCAGATCTGCTAAAGCAAAATCTGACCATGACCTCTATTACACAATTAATTGTAAGATACTATTTTATTCAAGGTACTACCCAAGTATTTTGACCTACATTTTTATCTTTTTAATCTCCTAAGCTGGTTAATGCACATGAATTTATTCCCTAAGGGGAAGTTTACCTGAGAAAGAGTTATTTAACATCTACAACTGCAGACGCTATACTTCAAAAACTTCAAAATAAATTGCATCTTTTAAAAAAAACGAGAAAAATCTTCAAGTCCTTGACATTTTATTTTCTACTATTTTCAGTAAGACTGCCAATATGTCCCACTCCTGGGTCATTTATTTTTTCCTAACACTTACCCTTTGTCAGCTTTCCATCATTTTCAGTACTTCCAAGCTCCTCCAAAATTATTATCAGTTCTCTTATCTTCTAACTCATCATTACCTGGACCAATGATTCCAACAGAAGCAGAATAGGCCCTTAGGGACATTGTGAAAATTTGTGAGGACCCTTTGGTTGCAGTAATAGGAGGGAAAGTATTTGGTGGATGGGGGACTATACATCCTAAAAGGTATGAAACAACCTTGTACAACAAAGAACTACCTGTATCCCTCAGAGTTTTAAAAGATTCTACTGGACATTAAAGTAGGTAAAAAGCCTATCAGTGATCATCTTAGTCTAGAACTTTATATAATACAGTATATATAAAAGGTATCATTTTCACACTGTTTTAAAGAAGACTGAATTTTTCAGAAGCGCAAGTCTTATATAAATTGAGGGAAGATTCCACTTTGTTTTATTCAAAATTTTACCAAAAATTGTTAGCAATTTGGGAAAAATCAGTTTGTCAATGACAATGGCCCTTACAGTATCTGAAATGCCAGTATAATACATTTGAAATAGGTCTGCCTTTATAGCTGTTATACTCATAGGGATTCTTTGCATTGGTGCAATATGCCAGCAACTGATTACTTCATTATGTCTTCCCATGTAATTATGTCTGAACATTTACATACTTAAATAGTAAATATGTTATTTTCTAATAAAATACTTCACCTTTATGTTTCAAATTAGACCATTACATTGATTTTTAAGTTATTTTTATGAATAGATTTCATTGCCTATGAATATCATTTTAGGATATTACAGGAGACTTTACAGAATATTTGTTATAAAAAGGAGGCACTAGGCTGGGCAGGAATCACTTCAGAATCACTGGCCTACACCTTAGCCTTCATGTGACTGGACTACTAAAGATGTCTCCTGACTGATATCTTAAATTCTACACCTATCTTCTTCCAAATGAAGTACCTACAGATGTAAAAGATTGCCAGTATTACTTCTATCTTCAAACTACCACAGAGCTCCCAACTGCCTTGCAAATCAGTCCAGTATGGAGATTTTTACAACTCTCCATAAAGAGATTCCTTCTGCCTAACCTAATAATTTATCCAGCCGACATCACAGACTGAACACTCCACTCAGAAAGCCTTATTTCTAAGAAGTGAGCAAGTCCTGGTGGAAAGGGTGTATAGGATTTGTAATCCTAGGTCTGTCACTTTATTAGGAGAGTGATCCTGAGTAAGTTACTTACCACTTTGAGTCTCATTTCTTTTTTTAAGATTTTATTTATTTATTTGAGAGAGACAGAGATAGCAACAGACAGCACAAGTGGGGAGGAGAGGGAGAAGCAGGCCCTGGGATCATGACCTGAGCCGAAGGCAGATGCTTAACTGACTGAGCCACCCAGGCATCCCTGAGTCTCCTCATTTCTTAAGTGAGAATTAAAAAGGACTTGCCTCACAGGGTTGTGGTAAGGAATGAATCAGACAAGTAGGAGCTCGGAGCTTGCTACTTCAGACTTTTATCTGTTTTGTTTACTTATCTATTCCAAGGTCTTAGGATAATACCTGGCACCTGGCAGTATTCAAGAAATGTCTGTTGAATGAAAGCATATTGCCTTCTGAAACCTTCCCAGGCAAGCCCATCTGACTGCTGCAGAATTTTACCCGTTAATCAAGTAACGATAATTGAGTGCTCATAAACTGGGTGCTTACTAGAAGTAAATCCGCAGTCCCTGCTCTTAGGAAACTTAGAAAAATGCTGGAAAATGACAGGTCAACATAAAAGATGTCACAATACAGTGTATGAGTAGTCAACAACTGGTATGGACAATAAGTGCTATGCATCTAAAGACAAGGTATATTATCACTGCGGGCTGGCACAGCATGGAATGACGTGTGAAAAAGAATGAAAACAGCCACATTTCTAGACTTTCTCCAACTAATCCATTCCTCTTACACAAAGCCTGAGAGAGCTTGGTAACAGCCCAATCTGTCACTTCTCAGCTTAAAACTCATCAAAATAGTACCACTGCCCTCAGGATATCCCAACTCCTTCAGGTGCTTTACCAGATGCTTCATACGTTCTAGTCCCCATTAATCTTTGGGAACTGCAATGATTTATAATGTAGCCACTAGCTACATGTGGCTGAGCACCTGAAATGTGGCTAGTCCCAAGTGAGCTGGGCTGTTAGTGTAAAACACGCACTGGATTTTAGAGATTTGGTATAAAAAAGAAAAAAAAAGAATGTAAAATATCTCAGTAATTTTATACTGATTACATGTCAAAATATTATTGTGGATACATTGGGTTAAATAAAAATACACTTAAAATTAAATTCACCTGTTTTTCACACTTTAACTATCGCTACAGAAAACTTAAAGATATATGTAGGGGTTCGCATTATGTTTCTATTGAACACTTAACTTCTCCCAACTCTGCATTTCAGCCCGAATAAACCACCTGCGATTTCCAACCGGGCCCTGTTCCTCCGGCCTACGACTTTGTAAATACTACCACTGACGCCTGAAACACTTTTTCCTCTTCCTTTCGCCGAGTTCACTGCCACTCATTCTCCAGAGTTCCGTTTTTAATCATCCCTTTCTCCAAGAAGCCTCCCCCTACCCTGCAAGAGTGGACCGGGGTCTCCTCCTCTGAGAATCCCACCTGTAGTACTTAACACACAGTAGCTGCAACTGCCTGTCTCCCGGTCGGTCTCCCCGACGAGACCGTAAGCTCCTCGAGGGAACAGAGACTCTGCACACGTCCACTCGTCAACGCCTGGCGCGGAGCCCGACTCCGCGGGACGCCGGAGGAGATGGGACAAACATGTGACTACCAGGACTACCCCGGTTCAGCGGTGAGAGGGTCCGGCCTACGGGAATCCGGGGATGCTAGCAGGCCGGCCCGCAGAGTGGCGGGAGCAGCCGGCGGGACTCACCAGTCCCTGGTCCACGTCCGCGTCCGGCCGTTTGGTCGCCGGCGGCGAGTACTCGGCGTAGCGCAGACCCTCGCCAGCAGCGGCGACTCCACCACGGGCAGCCATGCCAATGCGACGCGGGGAGACTCGGTGCGCCGCGGCGTCGCCTACGAGACGGCCGCAGGGACAAACTAGTTAGGGCGGTTCACTTGCGGGTTTAGCTGGCGCCGCCCCTGCCTCGCGAGGGGAAGACAGGTCTCCAGGAGATCTCGTTCTCACCCAGGCTCGGGCCACTTTGTCCCCGCGAAGCCAAGGGTCAGACTCGGAGGTGAGGCCCCTAGCCACGTGTAGGGTTTTTGTTTGTTTGTTTTAGATTCGCAGGCCCAAAGCCAATGTTGGGTCTCCTGGGCCTTGTGCGGTGGAGCCTGGCTCCTCCGCAGCCCTCTTCCGAACCAAGGGCCAGGATTTAAGCCCTATGGGCAGATTTTGGTCTCATCAAATGGCTATCAAGGGGAGACCCAGAGACTCCAACTGCAGTTCCTGAAGGTCCCTGACCCACACCAGACAATTCTTCCCACCCCAACTACTGATCATACATCTCTTTAATGCCGCAATCTCCCACCCATGAAAGCAATAGAAGTGGCAATTTGCCTATTCTACCCCTTCTCTCCACATGAATGGCTATACTTAAGATGAAATTACAAAGAAGAAACTTACAAGGAAGTAAATAAACCTCACTTCCCACAAATGGTTTTGTGCTGACTTGGATGTAGAAAGACCCATTTTATTTTATTTTATTTTTTAAGGATTTTATTTATTTATTTGACAGAGAGAGACAGAGCAAGAGACGGAACACAAGCAGGGGGAGTGGGAGAGGGAGGAGCGGGCTTCCCACCAAGCAGGGAGCCGATTCGGGGCTCGATCCCAGGACTCTGGGATCATGACCTGAGCTGAAGGCACACGTAAGGACCGAGCCACCCAGGCGCCCCAAGACCCATTTTATTAATATTATTTTTTTTTAATAAAGCCTTTTGGAGCAAAAATTAACCAACAAATGAAGCCAGTGAAGTGTTTTCCAACTGCTGAGCCAACTTGGCAGCTCTTTTGCCCTTTATATCTATTGTAAGAGACGTGAGTTATACTGTGTGTCCTATCATTTTCTAGGCTTGTGTCCCTGAAATGCCCATTTACCTCTCCAAACTCCTTATCTGGGGAAGGAGAAGACCATTTGTCTAACATTCTGACTCAGGCAAGTTGCAAGGATAAAATGAACAAAAGGGGAGGGGAGAAGGATACGGAAGCAGTTTGTACAATGCATTTACTATACACGGTACAGTTACCACCACAGTGCTGTTGGCGTTTCTGGGAGAGACCAATCACTTTTAACCAGAGTCTTCAGAGAAGGGTGGTGGAGGCTTAGCCACTGAGATGGTCAGTAAAGGATGGGTAAGACATTTTTAGATGGAAGAGGAGGAGGGCTGAACATTTCAGCTGGAAACAGATGCAAAGAAATGATGAAGGTGGCATGTAAAACTGGGTTAAAAAACAAACAAACAAAAACCCAACAAGCATGCCAAGACTCTTCAGAGACATGAACTTGAATAAGGGACAGGCAGGGCTAGGTAAGGAGAGATAGATAAGGGCCTCTGGGATCAGACTCACGGAAATCCCAAAAATGGAGAGGTGTAAGGAAACCAGAGATAAGGGAACACCCCAGACCACCCTGCCCTAGGTGTCTGGGGGGGGAGTCTTATTTATGACAGTCTCCTGTGGTCAACAGAAAATAACCAGACCCTAGAAAGAAATAGCCGTTAAAGATGTTATCACTAGTCCTTAATCCATGGTGCTGCCAGTAGAGAAGTCAAAAAGATTTAAGTTCCTATGGTAAGCTTTTTATAAAAGACCAACCCTAAAAGCCCTCAGTGGCAACCCTGTCGGGATCCCTCTCACTCCTGAAAGCTTTTTTTCCTGTATCCTTGCTTAATAAAACTCTATCACTCTACTCACTCACCTTTGTCCGTGAAATTCATTCTTCAACTCCGTGAGACAAGAACCTAGCTCTCCCACTTCAATCTTATTACAAAAATTAATTTCATTAGACTGATCCACAACTGTCAAGGACACTGGTGAACTAAGCAAATGAATTAGATTGGGGTCCACAGGTTATTCATTCATTCATCCATTTATTTCTTCAGTAAGTATTTACTGAGCATCTCTTAGGTCTTACATACTATTCTAGGCATTGGGCCTACAGTGTCAAGTAAGCAAATAAGATTACTGATTCCTTGCATTCTACACAATGGGAGGGTTCTGGTGTCGCCTAGCAGCTGGGTCCTCACAGTCCACCACAGGCTACTAGCCTAGAGCAAACAAGCAATTAGAGCAAGACCCAAGTCAGCCCCAGCTCCCCTCAGGGAAGTTGCTGGCCCTGCTCCAGAACTAGAGGAAAGTTTCCAGAGCAGAAGTCAGGAAAGGAGAGAAAGGAGAATGGGGCAAGGGAGAGAATGGTAGCTTATAGGGAGGTGGGCTCAGCAGGATTGTGCTTCAGCTCAAACCCCAACCTAGTGAAAGCAGATTGCTGACTGCTTGCAGACTTGCCCCAGTCCCACTGCTGACTGGAGCCTCTGCTCCTACAGCAGTAGCCAGTTTTAAAGAAAAACCTTCCATAAAGACTATCAGTTCTCAGCTTTTGGTTCTTTGCTAAGGTCACCCTCCCCTCCTAAGAAAGGATGGAAACAAGAGCAATTAAGTCTTCTCTCTCCTCACACAGATCTCATTCTGATTTAGCTAAACTCACTTCTCTGGTTTCCCTGAGAATGAAGAGGAATGCTTTTGTGAAACCAAGAGGGAAGCCACATTAAATTTTCATTAGCCTATTTTTATTAGTTACACCATTTTAGAGAGGTTACATTAGGTTCAATAGACTTTATGAAAGAAAGGCAGATGTTGGTAATATATCTCAGAAACATCTCAGTAAAAGATGTTTTAAACATTTGTTGTTTAAAAAGACTTTTGGTCAAAAAAAAAATTGACCTCTGTGTACCTCAGTCTCCTCATCAGGAAAATGGGGGATAATAATGGAACCTTAGTTGTGAGGATTAAATGAGTTGACTTTTGTAAAGCTCTTTTTCTTTTAAGATTTTATTTATTTATTTGACAGAGAGATAGCGAGAGAGGGAACACAAGCAGGGGGAGTGGGAGAGGGAGAAGGAGGCTTCCCACAGGGCAGGGAGCCCGATGCGGGGCTCCATCCCAGGACCCTGGGATCGTGACCTGAGCCAAAGGCAGACGCTTAACAACTGAGCCACTCAGGCACCCGGACTTTTGTAAAGCTCTTAAAACAGTGCTGGATACCTTTAAGTTCTCTGAAAACATTTGTTATTATTTTCTGTATATTACTTCTTTCACCTCTTTGTTTCCTATATATTTTCTTATTGCTGCCCCCTGCCAACAGTTGTGTTGGATCCCTAAGTGGTTGTCTTGTTTTTGAAATAATAAAATGCGATTAGACATTATATAGTGACAAAGTGTAATTGCGGGGAGAGAACAAGTTATTTTTATGAAAACTCAATTAAATGCTTTGGAAAGACTTGATAAAAGCAAGTTTTATACACACACACACACACACACACACAGTTTAAGAAGTTGTCAAATGGGGGGGGGCGCCTGGGTGGCTCAGTCGGTTAAGCGTCTGCCTTCGGCTCATGATCCCAGGGTCCTGGGATCGAGCCCCGCATCGGGCTCCGGGCTCCGCAGGAAGCCTGCTCCTCCCTCTCCCTCTGCCCGCTGCTCTGCCCACTTGTGCTCTCTCTCTCTGTCAAATAAATAAACAATCTTTTAAAAAAAAAAGTTGTCAAATGGTAGGCATGGGAATAAAATCATAACAATTGAGTGTGATTCTACCTTCAGTTTGTTTTTAAAATGTTTTGTTCCCCTTCATTTTAAACAAACCTAAATTAGGAATCATATAGGATAGATTATCAATGTAGAAGAACTCTGAGGCAGAGGACCCACATCCAAATACAAGGCCTTGACCCTATAGACATACATAGAGAACATGAATAGATATAGTGTGTGTCTGTTGTGGTATTAAAACTTCATAGGGAATGGGAGGAAGGGTGTTACTAGAAAAAGTCTAAAAGAGCTGCATAGAAATAGGTGCTTGGCTGGCTCAATTGGTAGAGCATGTGACTCTTGATCTCAGACTTGTGAGTTCAAGCCTTGCATTGGTTATAGAGCTTGCTTTAAAATAAATAAATAACAAAACAACACTCCTTATTAAGAAACAGTGATTTGTAAGTGTTGTTTAAAAAAAAATGTTTAGGGGCACCTGGGTGTCTCAGTTGGTTAAGCATCTGACTCTTGGTTTCAGCTCAGGTCATGATCTCAGTCGTAGGATTGAGCCCTGCATTGGGCTCACATTCAGTGCAGAGTCTGCTTCAGATTCTTTCTCCCTTCACCTCTGCCCATCCCCACACTCTCTCTCTCAAATAAATTAATAAAATCTTAAAAATATAATGTTTAAAGTATATATCATTATTGTTATAATCCCCGATTTAAGTAGTTTTTCAGTTAACCCATCAACCACTATCCCGGTCTGATCAGAAAAGAGGACTCTCCCGTGTGGCAAGTGCAGTGGGCATAAAGGAGGATGGGTCTGAAAAGAAAGGAAAGGAGTTCGAGAAGATAGCATTCAAGCTAACTGTGGAAGGATGAATACAGATTGGCTGGGTTGATAAGGTTGAGGCAGACATGGGGGAACAAGGTATGAGAAAACATTGCATATGAACAGTACTTCAAGGAATTCAGCTTTGCTAAAGTTCAAAGTATAGAGAAGAGAATATAGATAGATGAGAGTGGACAGATAACCAGAAAAGGGCTGGATATTAAACAGCTTTACTTAATAAGAAAAGGCATTTGGAATTGATCTTATAGCCAAGACACCAAAAAAATGTTGAATGTGGTAGTGACATGATCAGATCTACATGCTAAGAAGATCATTCTGCTACTAATGTGGGACTGTTGGGCCAAAACTAAAGGAGGGAAATCAGCAAGAAAGTTATTTCAATAGTCTGATTAGGAAATGTTGGGTGCTAAACCAGGACAGTGGCAGGGACATGGCAAGGAGGGGTGTAGTGACATT